CAAGATAAACCACATCCACTGCTCTACCATATATACAAAGATATATATGAGTATAATATATATATATAATAATATGGACAAAAGTTTGACTTGGTTCCAGATCAGGACAACAATGGTGTGCTAAACGAATGAGATTTCATGAGGGAGGAGAGAGAATTGTTTTTTCTTCACCAGCCAGCTTGATTACTAATGAAAACAGCAGAATAGAGACAGGCTTACACATGAAGAAAAGGTAAAGAAAAGAGTTAATATGTGTGAGAAGATTTTTATTTTTTTTTTAGAAGAGAATAAACTTGCTTCATCTTCAATCAATGAAGATTAAATGAAGAATAACAGAGAAAATGCAGAAGTGGAGAAGTGAACACAATAGAAAAAAGTACGAATAATTTCACATATGCTTTCATTTCCTTTTAGAAGTTGCTGACTGAATACCTGCTTGGAAAGCAGATTGCAATATCATCAAAGAGATTTCTAAGATTGTCTCATTTTTAATTGTCTTTTATTTTTCTTTTTTAGAAGTGGGACTGAGTCTATCAGTTGTAACTGAGTTTTAAGAGAGCTTTACATGTCTAATGTTATTGGTTTTGATTTTCAAGTGATAATCCATGTGGTGTGCTCATGGAGTGAGAGAATATAAGCAATGCCTAATGCTTGAAACTGAAGTAATTTTGTCTTTGCAGAATCCAAATAATCTGTTCACTTTGTTTCTTACATCTGCCACCTTCAAGCCTGTTTTCTGTTCTACAATCTCTGTTGGTGGTGTAGCTGCAGGTATATTAAGTTTTTCAAAAGACTTGAAGGCCGTTTTATGATTCCGCAGCAATTTCATCACTTGGGGACCCTTGCTCAGGTTTTAAATTTTGAACTGCATATAGCATGTGTCCTTCCTCATTCAAACACCGCACGGTCTGTGGCAGCCAGTAGCACAGGTATCTGAAAAAGCATCTTCCGCCACCCCTGCTCCCGCTACATTGATATTACAGATGCTCCCACTCTTACTCCATGTTGGGTAGCACCAGGAGCTGGGTTGTTCCTATGTCTCTTTACAGCTCTGAGAATCCTTATGACCATACTGCTGGCAACAGGCACTTGGGAGACAAAAGTGTTTTCCTGTCCTGGTGAAGCAACTGGCTCTTCCTCTTCCCTTTCTTATCCTTGAACTGAGTCTTGATGTCTGTATTAAGGTGGCTATTCAGAAGTAACAGAATTCATTTGGGAGGTGGGTTGGACTTCAGTGTTTGCCAGAGCTCTGCTTCCTCAGGACTAGCTGAAGATGCAAGTCACTCCCTTGTCTCTTGAAGAGCTGCTGGTTTTCAGGCCACACACTTTCTGCAGCGGTGGATATGTGTAGAGGGATGTCGGTTCTTCAGCCTTTGCACCCCAAGGCTGTTCTTGTGACTGTATCTTGCTTTGTTTGGGGAGCACACAATCCTGATTTTCAGCTCAGGATATTAATGTAGCAAGGAGCTAAAGTCCTAAATAGGAATAAAGAGTTTAAATTTTTCCTGAATCTGCTGTGACATATTTAGGGAGGCTGTAAAAATGCTCATGACTGGATATTTTATTACCTGTATAAAGGCATTGTAAAATTTAGTGGTTAGTTTATCACACACACTGAGTTTTCATATTTCTTGTTCCAATATATTTATAGTCAAATGTTCTTGAAACTGCTGTTTAAAGATTATTGTTAGTGTGAGGCAGGCTTAATGCTGTTTTTTTTGGTTTGGTTTGGTTTGGTTTGGGGTTTTTTTGTACTTGATAACCACATGTTGTGAACATCAAGACTGCTTTCTTGTTTTAATAGTAAGTAAGTACAAAGTGATTAGTTTACCTTCTTTGAAGAAATAAATTATAAGCTGTTTCTAGACATTTTGAGAGAAATAATGAGTATTTCCTTGTGAGTGATTTATTTATTTTTTTTTAAAGATAGCTTCCACTTCCTCCCCAAATGACTAGAATATAAAAATGACTGAACATTTAAAAAATATTTTATATTATTCATTGAACTGGAAGTATACTGCTATTGGAAACTTATTATAACAGGGTTTTCTGGAAGCTCATCACGGGACAGAAGTTTGATATCTCAGTGAGCAGGAACCTAAGCTTAAATACCACATTGTCTCCTACTACTAGAAGTATTTCATTGAATATGCTACCTCTTTTATTTGGGAACAGTCTTAAGTCTGGTTCCTATTGATATTTCTGTATTATTTTCTTCCTTTTTTCTTCTCTTCTCCTTTCTTTCATCTCTGCTATTTTTTTTTTCCTTCAACAGGAGAATCAGTGAACATACATATGTGTTTTTGCAGGTAGTTCTTGCTTTGCTTCTTTTGACTCCGGGCATTATATCCTCATGAGCAATTTTAATGTAGCCACATGGGATTAAGAACAGGAACAAAATATCCACATGGTGAAACTCATAGTAGATGGATTCCCTAGAAGGGCTTATTTTCCTTAAACAGCACCAAAAGCAACTTTCAATTTTTTTCTTCTGGAATGTATTTTGCTCAAAACCCTACGGAGAAGACATGAAAGACTGCTGCCTCTTTTTGTTAGTCAGACCATGGGAAATGTGCTTTGCTTCTTTCCTTGCTTTCCAAGTTCAGGTGTGCAGGGCATTTGGGAACAGTGTTAATATATAAATGCTCGGCTGGCCTTAGAAGCCTGGCTTTTCCTACCTCCTGGAAGTGTCAGCTGATTTCCCTGCAGTTAGCCCTTTCATTGTGAGTCAGTTGGTACCAATCCTGTTCAATTTTGAGTATGTCTCAATGTCAGAGGCATGAAACTCAACAGTAAATAAATAAACCATGTTTCTAATGTTGATCTCAGTACTAGTACCCTCACTGGGTGTGTTTTCAGAGACTGACGTAATGGTCAGAATTCAATTTGAAACTGTGTATTAAATGAAGTCTGTATAAACTTCTCTGAGCAGTGTTTCATTAGTGTACAGAATACTGTAGATTGCTGCCTAGTAATGTTTTCTGTGTTTTTTTTTTTTTTTAATTTGTCATGAAATATAACATTTATTTCCCATCAGGTCAAACCATCCATAATTTTTATTTATTTATTTAAGAATACAAATGCAGAGGAGCATGGTATTGCTTTGGATCCTTGTGGAAAATATGAACAATATATGTATGTTCTTTAAGCGTGAGAGGAGAAGCAGTTTGTGGCTGTGCTCCAGTAAGCCAGGAGTGGCTTACTCCGAGTGGCTGTGCTCCAGTAACAGCCAGGAGTTTTCCAGATGGGGTTCTAGCCTTACCTTGTGACACTGAGACATTTCTGTATGTTAGTCTTCGACTTCACTGCTCTAATGCCTGTTGCTTCTTTTGACTGTAATCTTTTGGCATAGGTAGCACGTAGCACAGAGGAAGTATTTCGTCACCTAGTACTCAGTTTATGCCCTAAGGCACTGACTTAAATGTATTTAATCTGTGAAAGAGGATGAGATTCTACGATGGTGTATGAAAATAATTTAATAGTGTGAATGCAATGCATACCTTTTGTAATGTAGTTTGTGTGTCTTTGAAGATGGTATGAGATAGGTGGTAACTGGAGAATTTTTTTTATTCTGAATGTTTTCTTTGTGAAATAACAAAAAAACTCAAGTGTAATGTTCTATTCAACTTTGTCTCTGTTAGAATTCCTTACCTGACCTGGGGAGAAAGAGTACACATAAAGGAGAAGATCTTGATGCGGTTATAGTAACAGACCTTGACTATCTTTTAAAAGCAGTTGGACTTCTTGAGAATAAAAGTGGTGAAAATGTTTTTGGGGCCAGAAATTTACATGCATTTCCTTCCCTGGGAATAAATGGGAGTATAGAAGTCCACTTAAACTGTTTGGGTGATGTCCACTTAGATTATATATGTGAAAACTTAAAATCATCAGGAATTTTAAACTCAGAATTACTGTTCATATTACTATGAGCATAAAACTTCTTGTTCACAAATAGACACTACCTTTTGAAAGTTTTTACTTGAATTTAAAAATGTCACCCTCTTCCACCGCTAAATTCTAGTTGCAGAAAGTTATTGGGAAGCAAACACACAGATATATTATGTGATTTTTGCATGGAAGCAAAAGGAGAAAGGATATATGACACTTCCCATAAGCATATATTTAGATATTACACAAACATAACTTTCACATTTGTATTTCAGGAAAACCAGATGCCTCTGCTGAAATTCTTCTGGATCAGGAATGTATAAACCCTACGAGTTACTCAAGCCAGCTAGAAGACTCTGGATGTGATGTCTCTCATGACTATGCATTTGATTCGTTAGCTTCTGATTTTCACCAATCTGAGCATAATGTTGACACTTCTAAACTTTGGTTGGAAAGAGTTCTCCCACTGAATCTTTGCTGTACTGGGAAGGAAGAATCTCTGACTGCTCCAGTGCAGTTTTTGCAACATCTGCTTGAAATAAGAAAACTGTCAGAAGGAGGAATTCTTCAAGCAGACTTCACAGAGCTTGAGAATGATTCTTTCACCATATGCAATTCAGTGTCTCAGTTGCTTGATGGACTGACTGTTTTTTACAACAGTCCTGAATTTTCAGTTTCAAATTTTCTTACTGAAGCAGTTTGTGTTTTGATCCGTTTGATAACTGATACTACATTATCTAATCATGTTTTGAAGAAGTGTTTCAAGAAGCTGGAAGAATTTAAGAAAAATCTAATTCAGATTATTTTAAGAAACAGAAGTGTCAATAGGGTAAGTTTAAAACATCTTCCATCTTTGCTACACCATTTCAGCATATTATAATGTTCTCCTGGTTTTATGCACTTTTAAAATATTAATTTATCTTCTTATATTCTGAAGAGTACTTCTCAGAAATTTTTGTGATTGTTTTTGTGATATAGACAATAAATGCTCTAAAACATTTGAAAAAGTTCTTGCTCATGTATGCAAGTTCTTCTAGCCTCTTCCTGAGTGTAGGACTTTTAAAAACTGTTAAAAAGGCAGATTAAAACAACTTTATAGAAAATATGAGAGAAAAACACATTGTTTCTCTAGCTATATGAAGATATTGTAGATATTCACAAAGTAATGACTATACTTTTTTATTATTCTTTCTTGTGCACCTAGGTTAAATAGGTTGGTTTGCTTCAGAAGATCTCTGCCACTCTCTAGACATTTGCAAATTTGTATTTTAAAATCAGCAAATGAGTGAAGAATTCAGAAATAGCATGTCCCCAGTACAAACAGCAAATAGGACTGAATTGCATTTTATCTGTATTCGTCATTCTCCATTGTTCCATGCATCATCTTGTTAGCTTCCCCATTCAACTGAAATATCCCTAGTCTGTCTTTACAAGACTTCCCATAAGTAATGAATTCCATTGTCTGCCTTAGGTTTTTTGCTTTTCATTCTCTCTCTTAGAGTAACTTGGAACAGACATGATGGTGGAATTGTTTGAGATTTAGACATACCAGTGTAGTGTCCACTTGTATGTAACCACACCACCATTACAGTAAATCAAGATCATATCCCTATAATCCATGGAGTCTAAAGAATCTGACCAGGTACTAAGTCCCTATTTTAGGATAAGCTCTAAAATTGCCTTTAGCAAAATGAGAGCTTAGACATCTGCTACACCTGTGGACAGATGTATCCATTAGTCATAATTTAAAATTAATCCTACTCACTGTGTATTAAGTATTTAGCCCAGAATGTAAACATCAAACAAATATTATTATCAAACTAAGGTGAGGGAGTGGAGATATGCTTGTATTTGGTTCCAGAGCTTTCAGAAGCTTTCAGAACCCTTCATATACTGAAGCTTTTCCAAGACTAGAGCCTTGTTTCTCAAATACCAGAGTGCTTTCTATTTCAGTGTTGCCATGGTATCATAGAATCATCATAAAACGGTTTGGGTTGGAAGGGAACTTTAACCCTCCTGCAGTGAGCAGGGACATCTTCAACTAGATCAGATTGCTCAGAGCCCTGTCCAACCTGACCTTAAATATCTCCAGGAATGAGGCTTCTACCACTTCTCTGGGCAACCTGTGCCAGTGTGTCATCACCCTCATTGTAAAAAATTTGACCCTTTTGTCTAGTCTAAATCTGCCTTCTTTTAGTTTAAAACCATTACCCCTTGTCCTATTGCAAAAGGCCCTGCTAAAAAGTCTGTCCCCCTTTCTTATAGGCCCCCCGTCAGGTACTGAAAGGCCACAATAAGGTCTCCCCAGAGCTTTCTCTTCTCCAGGCTGAACAACCCCAACTCCCTCAGCCTTTTTTCATAGGAGAGGTGCTCCAGCCCTCTGATCATTTTTGTGGCCCTCCTCTGGACCCACTCCAACAGGTCCATGTCTTTGTTGTACTGACGACTCCAGAGCTGGATGTGGTACTCCAGGTGAGGTCTCACTGGGGCAGAGTAGAGGGGCAGAATCACGTCCCTTGACCTGCTGGCCATGCTGCTTTTGATGCAGCCCAGGATATGGTTTGCCTTCTGGGCTGCAAGTGCATAATTGTCAGCTCATGTCAAACTTTTCATCCACCAGTACCCCCAAGTTCTTCTCTGCAGGGCTGCTCTCAATGCCTTCAACCCCCAGCCTGTACTGATACCAGGGATTGCCCCAATCCAGGTGCAGGACCTTGCACTTGGCCTTGTTGAACCTCATGAGGTTCATCCATGCCCACTTCTCAAGTGTGATACTTAGGTTTTAGTTAGAGGTGTTACTGGCCAATGTTTTGAAAGGATGTGAGCATACATACCATTTGTGTGGTATCAGGAATAGAGTCATGCAGGTGAGACTACTTTTATTTTTGTGTGTGTGTGTGTGTGATTACAGGATACAGAACAAAGAAAACTTGAACAAGCATGCATTAAGGACTTTTTTGTAGTTGATGATGTCCAGTGTTTCCATCTGTTTCCCCCCTCTACCTGAATGGGTAGTTAATAAATAATTAAAATTATGATAATTGTATGAGAACAACCAAGAGGATTACTTGTTGATTGGAGGAACCTGGCAAAGGTTAAGTAAGATGTGTCACATCTGAAATGAGAGAAAGTACCCTGATAGGTCAGGGATGTTTCAAGTCTGCAGAGTACTTTTATAAATCATTCAGGAAGGGTGGAGTATGCCCACATAATTTGCAAGTGGCATCTTTTCTCTGAATAACTTCACTGAAACAGATGGCTTTTTATGAAATGTTTTATATCTTGCTTCCACCAAAATATTGACTTAACACTCATTCCTATCGACAACCATTACTTCAATCAAACAGATTCAAAGTGTTTAAAAATTGTGTAAACCAATTATTAAGGGATAATTGTGATGGTTTCCAGATTTTTGAGGAAAAACGTAAAATAGTGTGTGTAGTAATTGCAATGTTTATAAAGATTTATTGAAAAATCCTTTTTAGAGGTTTGGTTTTCTTTAAACTGAATTGAATGGGAAAATAAATATGTAGAATTCAGAATTAGTAGTGGAAATTGTAGAACTAATTCTTCATGTGCTGTGTACCATATTTCTCCGAGGGACACTTTATGCTTCAGTTTTAATCATCACTGTTTACTCAAGTGGTGATTGAAATATCAAGATTATAGGTTTAAAACAAAATTGCCATTAATTACCAGGCTGTCATGTGGAAAGA